CGAAAAACAATGCCGTAACCTCACTTTTTTAATAAATTAGCTAGAGAATTGGTTGGTTAGTTTACAAACTAGCTAAAGCTTGGCTATTTTGTGTTACTAGAAATTTTGGTTTTCATATTAGCCAAACTGAATTGGATAGTATACAAACTATCCAGCTATTTTAGTTTCCCTAATAATTTCAAGTAAATTAGCCAAGATCCTTGGTTATTTTGTAAACTAGCCGCTAATTTAGTTGAAAATATGTTTTAAATTAAAATAGCTGACAGTTTGGTTAGTTTATCCAGCTAGTTTATAAACTATCCAAGTTTGCACATTAGCAGTAACATATATAAAACAATATTGTAAAATATAAATATATATATTTGTATATATATATATAAATATTTGTATATATAAAACAACTTGGGAACCTGTATTACCGGCGCGCCGTTAATCAAAATGTTTTGTTTGAAAATGGACTAACCACCGGTTAAATTTGAAATAGAAACAGTTTATCACAATGAAAGAAAAGATAATGTTTTATGGGCACTCGACGATGGAGTCTCCACCCGAAATTTTTAATGGTTAATCAGTTAAATCTATTTTACTGCCGGCGAAATCAAAACGTCAGTACAAAGTGCATTTAAACTTTTCAAATATTGGCGTTGAAAACTTATTTAATACTTTTGTATTTTTGTATTGAGATAACTTTCATATTTAGTATTATTTTACAAGGCTTTTTATTTTAACGATTGTATGACATTTGACAACTGTCAACTAACTTAAAACTAACTTCAGCCCATGACTAAAAACCTGTTGCTAACTTCAGCCAGTGACTAAACGCCATAAGGCCACAACTTGTCAATGTGCATTTAAAAGGTCACTTAGTGTCATGGAAACATGTATGATTTAAAGGTGGGAGCAAAAAAATATATAATTAGGGACCTAGGTCTAGCAGTATCCTGAATTAAATAAATTATGTTCATAAATTCTTGAAAGCCAATAATTTAAACAATTAATTATTATTATGCAAATTTAAAATTTTAAGATGTAAACAAAAAGTATATGATTAACAACTATTATTATCATAATGGTTATACGCTATAACATGATTTTCCTGTATTTCATTGTCCACACATACATTAAATTTACATGCATCGTTACTGTTACAAATTGGATTATTTTCTACATTTAACTAAATATATTCGCCACTATTTAAAATTATAAAAGCAAAATAGCAAAAAATTATGTCATATAACTTTAATAACATTATTATATGTTCAAGAGATATAAAGGTTATCAATTATATAATATAAATATTAATCAATTAATCGCAAACTAAAGTTTAACAACAAATTGCAAATAAAAAAGATTTTCAGTAGGTTATCTTTCAGATTAATTACAATATTCATTATCATTTAATAAATATAATTAAATTATTTTATAGTTTTAAAAAATCCGCATTTAACTTTCATAAAACTAATATAGTTTAGTTTTATTTTTAAATTTAATAATTTTTAAAAACATCAAGCATTTAATAATATACATTCCATACGTTTAACGTACTTTTATATCGATAATAAAACCTAAAGAATTGCTTTAATGAGGTTGTCACAGCTTTCATAAATCCTTCTCTGACACCTCCATAAAGCTAAATGGTAGTTAAGTGAGCTTTATGGTATCCTTAGACGAAGAGGTCAATAAAGCTAGTTAGCATGTAAGCAGTATTTTTTTAAACATTTTTGCCGTAGTTTGGTTTGGTTTAGAATCATATTAAAATTATTATTACCCATAAAATAACAAGTGGTATGATTATCATCGATGATATTTTCGAATTGAAACCGAGCTGCAGATTTCACGAGTCCGCAGGACGATATATATATATTTAGTGAAAAAATATGATGAATTTTTGGATTGTAACAAATTGTTAGTTTAACATTTGAAATTAAAATGTACATTAAAATATAAAAAGACTAATATATTCAAACTTGTTTTAATTTCATTATCGTATACACCAACCAATCATATAACAAACACAGGATTTAAATTTTAACAAATGTCAAATCAAGAAAAGTTAAAATCCATAGTAACGTGTAAACAAGGTGATAATGTCAGAAGACGTCATTTTGTCGCACAAGGAGAATTGACGAGTGCGACAAAAGGTCTTATGACATGAGTTCTTTATACTATTTTATCTATTTTGCAAAAAAAAAATTTATAACTTATATTTAATTTGGTCGAATTTTACTTTAGATAGTTGGTATTACAGTCATTGGTTTGAAGGCTTAATGTCAAAATCGATTCGCCATGGCGTCCTTCATTTACTTATTTACAATAAGCGGCTGTTAATGTTAAAGAAGAAAAAAAGGATTTTGTTTGGTGTTAAACAAAATTTATTGCCAGAAAAGCCTCGTATGTACTAGAAAAATAAAAAAATATTATAACCAATATGCAAAATATTATTTTAGTAGTATGCTGTTTAAAGTAGCCAACCTATAAAATCAAAATTTTGAATGGAGTAAAGTACCTCATTACAGCACCGAAAGCGGTGTTACAATGATAATATTATGAAAGCAAAATAGATAAAAAATATTGTCGCTGTGATAAAATGCGTAACTATGGAATACTGGCATTTTATTGTTTTTAGTATGAATGAATTGTATTGTCTCTCGAATAAAGACCGAAGTACAATTTAAATTAAATAAGCTTGTTTATAGTTTATAATAATATTTAAAAAGCAATATTTCTTCAACCTGGGGTGATATTTTAATGCCACCACCACATTTTTTATAAAATAAAATAAAATACTTCTTAAAACCAATGGGCCTTTGCAACAAGCTAATTTTGCAACAATTTATCATATTTGTTTTTATGGTATTATATAGAAAATTTAAATTCTTTTCTAAAATGGTCATTTTAATCAAAGTTACCTTGCAAGAATTATTGTTAAAAATGCTTTGCATAAATGAATTTAAAAAAACACATCATACGAGGTGTGTTCAGAATATAACGGAAATTTCGCGGCTTTATTATGTTGGTATACATGCCCCCGAAGTATGATACAACTTTAGCTGTTTTAATTGTTTACTTTGTCTGTGGCAGCCGCTAAGGTTAGACGTGTTTTATGAGCTCAGCGATTTTTCGTTCCTTAAAAGAAATGGATCAAATAATTTGTATCCAATTTTTACTTAAAAAATTAAATAAATTTTGTGAAATGTTAACAAAGGCCTATAGTGAGTCTGCTATAAGTAAAACAAGAGTTTACAAGTGGTATAAGAGTTTCCAAGATGGCCGTGAAGACGTTGAAGATGACGAACGCTTCGAACGCACAAGCACATTAACAACCGATAAAAACATGAAAAAAGTGGAATAAATGGTTATAAACCATCAGAGAAGTCGCTGATGATGTTGGTATATCAATTGGCTCATCCCATGAAATTTTTTCGAATGTTTTGGGTATGAAACGCGTGGCAGCAAAATTTGTTCTAAAATTGTTAAATTTTGAACAAAATTTTTGGCCAAAAACAATACTGTAATGATGCCCCAGCCTCCATATTCGCCAGACATGCCTCTGTCTGACTTTTTCCTATTCCCAAAAATAAAGAGAACCTTAAAGGGCCGTCGTTTTGCAAGCATAGATGACATTAAAAGCGCATCGCTGAAAGAACTAAAGGCTATCCCAAAGATCGAGTTTTAGAAGTGTTTCGAGTATTGGAAGAAGAGCTGGCACATGTAATGTAATGGATTTGTTTATTTTTGAAATATTTTAGAATCAAACACATTGTAAGTAGTGAAAAACATAAGAATGAATTGTTTAGGTTGTTTTTATTTTTTTACAAAAAAGTATAATGCATTATAGAAAAAAAATATTGCAATAAAATCCCATTATTTGTTTCTATGGTAATGCGTTTCGCTTTTGACAGTGGCAGTGACAGTTCTATATTTAAAATCTAAAAATAAGAAAAGGTATTGGGACAAAAAATAAAGTAACAGAAAACATTTTTTTATAGCCACTAATATCGTGCCCGAACCTCCTTAAAGGAAAAGTTAAACAAAATTCTGGTGAATTATACTTACTGCAGTTAAAGTTTTGTAGAAATATTTATTCTGGCAATTGAAAAGTTTTGTTGTAATATTTCGTGGAATGCAACTTTTAAATAGTTAAAAACAATTCTTAAAACTCCGCTGAGGTTGACAAATTTATTTTATAATAATGACAAAGCATTGCAATTGTCCATTACTGTACTTAATTTGAGTACTGACGTCGGCTTTGGTAAATGTAAACCACCTGCTGTTTTATTTTGAATAGTTAATTGCATTACAAGACTAACGTTAGGATCTCCACTCGTAATCTAATTCTAGCATCATAAAAATAATTTAGTCGAATAAATTTATAAATAGCAGGGCATTTAAGTGTGTCATTTAGTTGATCAGTCTGTAGTGAGTCGGTCTAAAGCTACGCTCAGTCTACGAGTTAGTATGGGACGAATGGAACCCCATTACACTTGCTTTAATTTAATTTTAATTTTTGAATGCCCATTAATTCGTTGATATTAGGACATTAGATGCCATATTAGGTACAAGAACCATAACCGGATTTATTTTAGGTTTTTTGTTTTTAAATGGAAATAAAGTTTAGCAGGCAAAAAATAAAAAGTCTTGAACACAAAAAAAGAACATTATTAATTACATAAATGTTTTATTTGTTAAAAGAAATAGGTTTCAAAAGCGTAAACTTTTCGCATAACTTCGCTCAATAAGTTAAATAGATTGGTAAGGCTTTATAGCCAAAATTATTTACACAAACTAATTAAAATTTTAAACTTGGTTAAGTTAACTATTTAAAATATTTCAATAGCTGGGAATTTTAACTTAACCTTTGAGTTTTATTTTTTTTGGTTTTTGTGTTTTTGACTATTTGTTTATATTTTGTTATTGTCCATATAAAATAAAGCTAAAAATACTATACTATGTTTTTAACTTTTACAAATTTTTCTAATGTACATATGTTTTCTTTACAGAAATTTATTCCCTCCAAATCTAATCCAGGCTTGCATTGCCCAGGTAAGAAATAATATTTTTAAACACTAAAAGTTTAATTTTTTAAGATCTCCTTTGGATTTTTCAAAATTTTGGGAAGATTTTTTAAAATTTTATAACTAGAAAAATCAACCTTTATGAAAACGTTTATAAATGAAATAAGATTAAACAAACTTTTAATTTGTTTGTCAAAAGTTCGAGATCACTCACTACTAAATGATTGATTATCGTCTAGGCTGTAAAATAATTTAGACCAATCAGGAAAAGTTTTTACATCCTATTCTTTAAAAAACCAGTTTGGACCATTCAAAAAATTTGACCAAAGTTTAAAGATTAACTTTGTTTTTATTGTTTAAATTACATTTTTTTGTAATAAAAATTTTAAGAATTTCTTGAACACCTTTAAAACTTTTTTTAATTTTGCAGATTTTCTATAATTTTTGGTTTTTTTCCAATAAATATATTTACTAGGGTGGTTCTTATTTGACTGATATCAAAATTTTAATCGTGCCGCCCCCTCATTTGTTTTTAAAAAATATAAAAAAATGTATTTCAAATTTGAATATCCTAACTTATGTCCTTCTATTGCCTGTATAACCATATTTTCCCCTATATGAAAAACTGTAAGTAATCATCGAGAGAAGTAAAAAATACCTTAGGATGAAAATACATGATTCCTTTTTTTGTTTAAAAGTAACTTAAGTCCTCTACATTTTCTCAAAAACTTATACTTTTTCATAGATTAATAGTAATTTTAAAAAATTAATACATTAAAGGCAAAAATCCCCTATTTGGAAAACTTCTCGTTGTTACAGGCAATAGAAGGAAATAAGTTAGGACATTTAAATTTGGCATACATTTTTTTTTAATATTTTTTAAAAACAAATAAGGGGGCGGCACGATTAAAATTTCGACATCGGTCAAATAAGAACCACCCTAATATTTACTACTATTTAATTCATTTTAGTGATTTCTCACGATTTTCTTTTTAAATATTAAAATAATAATATAATTATAAAATAATATAATAACTGTATATAATGTTGCTATAATACTCTTATTAATTTATTATGAAAAATATTTCATAATTTTATTTATCTTAAACAAAATGATATTTAATATTTAAAATTGTTCTTTAAACTTAAAGGTTATAAGGTGAAATCGCAAAAATATATATTTATAAATATTTTATTTAACCATAAACATTTTTTATTATTATGGCACAAAAAGATAAGGCCACAAATTTAATTAATCACAATTAAAAATAATAATTGTAATTAAAAAAAATTAAATAAAAGTCAATAAGATATATTAAGTAATATTAGTAATAACAAACTTTTAAAAATAATATTAAAAAAGATATCGATTTGAAATTTTAAAAGCGTTATAACCCATTTAAACCTAAAATAGTGAGGTCAACCTTGTTATTTCAGATAGTTTTCGAGTTATTAATTTTTTTCAAATCAATCTAAAATAGCCTATAATTTTTTTGTTATTAGTTTTGCAAATATGCGGGTGGGTTTTTGGAATCTTAATTGCTCAAAACAACTTAAAAATTTGACGCATTTTGAACAATGACAGATTACGTGGTAACCATAGATACCGTTAATTCACCCGTCACAGGTTTCTGGATATAAAATAATATTTAAAATTTTAGAAATTGTTAAATTTCTGTGAAATTATTAACTTTAGGTATAGGGAATATAGACCAGGGTCGATAATTTTTGAAACCAAAAAAAATAACAGTAGGATGAAACCCATTGGAAAAGGAGGGGAATTTAATAAAAATGAAAGGAAAAATAAATTACGGGCGATCTGACTTCGGGAAGTGGGAGGGGGGGGGTTTTAAGGGTAAAAAATGGTTTATCTCGATTTCCGGCAAAACTACAAGTCCTATGGAAAAAAGTTAAATGGCAAAGTTGTAGGTAATAAAAGGATCTACAACTTTTGTAATTACAATTTTTTTACATAACATCAAAATTTATGTGAAAAATTCAAAAAACCAAGTTTTTGGTTTTTTATTTTTATCTTTTTCAAAAAAAAAATTTTTTCCACGAAATTTGGTGAAAACTTACCTTTTTATGTCTCAAATTTACTGTAATTTATTTGATTTGAAATATTTATTATTTCGCCTTATTTTGACTTAATATCAAAAAAGCACCCTAATTTTCAATCGAAAATTCTCGCGTCAAAATATCAGCTTTTTTCAAAAAGTCGGTGTGCTTTTTGTTCGTTGAAATCTCTACTTTCTGATGGTGTAAAAAAAAATATACATTACTATGGTAAATGTTCTCAGAAAATGCAAAAAATATTATAATGAATAACGAAAAAAACTCGAATTCGAAAATTTATTTTAATCATTATGTACAATTTCATCAAAAAAATGTGATTGTTGCAATTTTTTTTAGTTAAAAAGTTTATTTATTAAATTCTAATAACATTTATGTCAGAAAATCTCATAAAATATAAAAATACATGTAAATCATACTATTGGGTTTAGATACTTCATTCTGATTACGTTATTCATTATAATATGTTTTGTATTGTCTGAGAACATTTACCATAGTAATGTATACTTTTTTTTACACCATCAGAAAGTAGAAAGTTCATCGAACAAAAAGCACACCGACTTTTTGAAAAAAGCTGATATTTTGACGCGAGAATTTTCGATTGAAAATTAGGGTGCTTTTTTGATATTAAGTCAAAATAAGGCGAAATAATAAATATTTCAAATCAAATAAATTACAGTGTATTTGGGACATAAAAAGGTAAGTTTTCACCAAATTTCGTGGAAAAATTTTTTTTTTTGAAAAAGATAAAAATAAAAAACCAAAAACTTGGTTTTTTGAATTTTTCACATAAATTTTGAGGTTATGTGAAAAAATTATAAATACAAAAGTTGTAGATCTTTTTATTACCTACAACTTTTTTCCATAGGACTTGTAGTTTTGCCGGAAATCGAGATAAACCATTTTTTACCCTTAAAACCCCCCCCTCCCACTTCCCGAACTCAGATCGCCCGTAATTTATTTTTCCTTTAATTTTTATTATATTCCCCTCCTTTTCCAATGGGTTTCATCCTACTGTTATTTTTTTTCTCTTTTTACCATTTTTAAAGGCTTCTGCACTGGTCCAATAGTAACATCAATCGAAAGGTTTTTTAATTTACTATTTGATTATGTAAAAATATAACGGGTGTTTGAAATAAAAAATAAACTGGGTATTTAAAATAAAAAAGTTATGAACTTTTCAAATTAGCCTATGTACTATGCTCCACACCTCAAAGTCCCACCACGTGACCACGTACGGAACGCAGTCTTTTGAAAATTTGGCATTTAAGGCTTATCTGTCAAAGTATAGTCAACGAAAGAAATAATATTATGTTTAGGCGTTAAAAATGTATAAATCTTTATAACATTACAATAACAATGGATGGTTTAAGAATTTAAGAATATAAATACTGCATTTAATGAAATTCTAAAGTGTATGGTGCCAAATAAGTAATATTTTTGTGCATTTGGTCCAAATATCTGGTTTTCTCCATACAATAATTTGAACTTAACAGCTTTTATTAATAAAAATCTAGCTTTTCTCTTATGGAATAGGAATATCTGTTTTAAAGGTAGGTTAAAATATTATAACAAAAATATCATCTAATTTTGTAATTTTAAGGTTAGAAAAATTTATTTTGAGCAAAAAAAAATAAGTATTTTGGATTATTTAAAAGACTAATATGGCATTTAAAAATGTGGTAGTTTTTCTTATCCAGCTTAAAGTGTACCTACATAAAGTTTTGTCAATACAAATAGTTTGACTGAATTTGATCTACATCAAAAAATCATAACTTTAAAAATTTTCTTATAATCTTATAATAAACTTAAAGTAAGTATGCTGAGAGGTATGCACAAGTTTTGTCGTTAGAAGTATAACAGCTTCAATTTAATTTGAACTATATTCAACAATTATTTAGTATACCCATATTTATTTATGACCATATTAACACACTCTTTCAAATAATCCACTTATTTATTTTAGTCAAAATAGATTTTTCTAACCTTAAAATACAAAATTAGATGATATTGTTTGTTCTTATACAATAACCTACCTTTGATACAGATATTCTTATTTCATAATAGAGAAGTTAGATTTTTTTTAATAAATTCTGTTTAGTTAAAACTATTTTATGAAGAAATGTATACCCAATGCACAAAAATATCAGTTATATTGCACCTTACACTTTGGAATTTCATTAAATGCAGTATTTATATTCCTAAATTCTTAAACCAACCATTGTTATTGGTAACACTATAAATATTATTTCTTTCATTGACTATACTTTGACAGATACATAACCTGAAAAGCCTTAAATGCCAAATTTTCAAAAGACTGCGTTCCGTATGTGGTCACGTGGTGGGACTTTGAGGTGTGGAGAATAGTACAATTTAAAAATGTATGGGGCTTTCTATTTGAAATATTAAAATTGATGTCACTGGCATTTTGTTTAAAATATTTTATAAAAATAGACTTAAATGGATTATAAATGCTTTTAAAATTTCAAATAGATATCTTTGTGCGTTCTAATGGACCACGAATGAAAAAGACCTTGTATAACATAATAACATTCAATATTTTACCCAATCCTTAATGACTACTACTGACACACTACTGTGCATAATAGTATATTACACTACAAGGGCAGAAAGTGTGAGATTCCTGCACTGCGCGCCATGATGCCCGAGGCGAAGCCGAGGGCATCATGGCGCGCAGTTCAGGGCTCTCACACTTTCTGCCCGTGTAGTGTATACTATTTTTCTTGCTACCCCGCAGAAAATACGGGAAAAAATTAAATGTATATAAAAAAACTTGTGTCAAAATTAAAATCTGACGTTTAATTTAATTCTGACGTTTACATTCAAAATCAATCAAACTATAGCGTTGTCATGGTAATTCAGCGGTGCCAATACAGTAAAAATAAAAGGTTGTATTTTAATTAACAAATTACTACTTTATAACAAATAAAAGTA